GACAGCTTAGAAGTGATACAGAACTTGGAGAAAAGCATCCTGGCTTGATTTCTGTGTCCTACTGATGGCAAGGCGAGTCAACCTGATCAAATTCTCATCTTGCCAAGGCCTCAATTTCCTCTTGCAAAATGAGAGGTTTAAAATAGATCATCTCTAAGATTGCTTCTGACTCTGAAAAAGGAGTGACTGGCTTCCAAAAAGAAACGTTTCTGTGAGGACACACGTTGGGCTTCCTAACAGTGAGAATTGGTATCGGCGTCTTCTCCCTTGAACAGAGTGAGCCTCGTTCTTCTTAGTAGAGTGCCTTAGCCTTCCCTAGAGCCTTACTCCATACCATGTGTTAGTATTCAGGCATCTGTACTGGCCTGCCCTTTGGGTCCAGACAGAATATGTGCACCCTAAGCTTCAGCCACTAAGAGTACCTCCTGTGCACATTCACTACATTCCCATTTAAAAGGTGGTCCTTGCCCACCTCCCATCTCTCTATATATACATATCTGTCTCTTTCTCTCCCTCCACATTTCTCTTCTGTCACTCTTGTCCCCAGCTGCCTCCCTCTCCGCTTTTTTCTCTGTCCCTTTTTTCTCCTTTTCCAATACATTTCCAATGTGAGCCCTGTTGCATGGTGTGACTCCTTCCTGCTGTTTCTTTTATAAATTATAACATTGGTTCCCCGAGAAAGGCTCTCCTGCTCCCTCCTCTTCCCCACAGGCAGTCTGAGGTATGCTGGGACCCTGGAACCCAGTCCACATATGAGAGCCTCGCTTCTCCAGATCACTGGGTCCCTTCATTCAACAGTGGCGTGATTGGTGAGTCCCTCCTGCTTCCCCACCTGGGCTCTTTCCCGTGAATGAGGACTTGTCTCTCAAGTGTGGTTTCTCACTTTTTAGCCTCATGAAGCCCTGGATCCAGGTAATCACGCCTCTCAGAGCCCTTAGCCCCTGCCCTTTGCATGATGGCTTACTGGTAGCCTGTGCCTTTCTCGTGCTTTGAACCCCTGGGTCTTTAGAGCTTTGCCCTTTGGCCCCATTCCTTGAATGACAAATCACCAAGCGGCTTGTGTTTTTCTCTCTCGATCCTCACTTGATACAAGCCATTGGATCTTGTTCTACCTCACTCATGGGGAATAAGCCTGCGAAAAATCTGCTTCCTGGCCTTTATATCCTGATATCTTATGGGAACTTGGCAACATTCTGCCAGCGACCCCGATAGATGGAAGGAGGTATATCTCCCTTTCACCCTTTTACTCTTCTGCCTTTTCCCTCCCCCAAATAAACCACTTACATTCATTCTGTTGCATGAGGCATGTTTGCTCAGTGGCAGAGCCCACTGAAAGGTAATCACTTCACACTGGGGCCCTACCCACCTGCAGCAAATCTGCTTCCTCATTCACTGGCAGTTTTGCCTTCCAGTCAGTATGGGCAATTGGGTCTCTGACAGGGCTACCCACCCCTGACTATTCTCCTGGATGAGAGGCTGCATTTCTCGAGCACACTCCTCCCTTCCCCTTCTGACTTTTCTCAAAGTCCTGGTACCATTAGCCACTGCTCTGTGTTTGACAAATCACGGAGCAGCCCGTGTCCTCTAAAAATCGTCTCACTCATGGGAACTGTGTCATGGTTTATACTTCCTCCTTTCCGCTGAGATGTTTTTTGGAGCCCCACTGACCATTCCTAATCAGCTATTGCTGCAGGACTACCAGCTGTTGGCCACAGAATTGGCGGTACAAGACTACGAAACATGTCTGGGTGGTGAGAACCAGCAGCACCCCAGAAGTGCTAACTCTATGACTGCCCTCAGTAAACAACCACCTGTATTTCCTGGTACATTGTGTAGAAGGAGGGTGTTCAGGCGATGCTGTAATGACGGGAAAGGATCGGTGCTTTAAGCCCTAGGGAGTCCACTTGGATCCAGCTCGAACAGGGTTTTGCGGGGTCCAAGTGGCACCTGTTGGTTCCACAGAGCCAGGACCGTGAAGTGAAACAGCCAGATACTCAAGGACATGGCCAGCATCCCAGCTTTCTCAGTTACCCTAAAGATGAATAATACCCCATCATGCCAGCAGGAAGTAGTCTCAAGAACATGGTGTCCTCATCCCCGCCTCACCTGCTACTTCTTTCTAACTCCTCACCTTTTATAATAAATAAAAAAGGAGGAATATTAGTATTCAGGCATCTGTGCTGGCCTGACCTTGGGGTCCTTACAGTCTACATCCTCAGCTGCAGCCACTAAGAGCACCACCAGTGCATATTTGGTACATTCCCTTTTAACCCCCCCCCCTTCCTGTTACTCTTGTCTCCGGGGACCAGTCTTTAACCCCATCTCTGCCCCTTTCTCTGCTTCTTCCTTCTCCTCTTCCTATGTGAGCCCTGTCACATGGTGTGACTGCTCCCTGCCCTTTCTTTTATAAACGATTACACCACAGGCATTTATATTTGGTGGCATCAATTACAGTTTGTAACTGCAAATTGACCCGTGTAGTTAGGGTGCAGATCCAAAGGCAGGGAGTGTGGATTTGGGTTCCTTGGCTGCTCCATGACATTTGTTAACCTAATGGATTCTAAAAGGCACTCGGAGCTCTTGAGTTTTCAGTACTGGCTACTACACACCTAATACTTCTCCCTGCCCTTTGGAGAGACAAGTCTGGCATGGAGTCTTTCATGCTGTAGGAAGTATACTCCAACTATACAAAGTCACAGTATGTATCTTCAAGTTCCCATGCCACTTCCTCCAGCTCTTAAAGACAGCAGCTGAAGATGACGGTGTGCATATTCACAGCAGTGTAACCCCATCTGACTTCGGGCTTGCCTGTCAGAAAGCATCAAATGGAGGTTTGCTAATTCAGGGCACTGTGTGGAGAACTAAGCCTTCTGTGCGTCGTCTTGGCTGGAGGGAACACCAGAAGGCCTCCGATCCCCTTTGTTGACACTCCGATAGTATCCAACCTCCTACACATTGTGGACGGTTGTTCCTTTCAATATTTAGTCTCCAGGGAGGACAGAGGGTTGTGAACTGCCACCTCTTTGTTCTTGCAACTTATCCTGTGGGATGCAAAATTCTAGTCCCCTTGAAGCAACAGGGAGACTGTGGCCGCTGGTGACTGATGCAGCCAGGCAGTCACACAGTGAAGACAGCAGTCTGTTGGCAGGGAACAGTGCAGTCTAGGACCACACGGAAGGCAGACATGCTGACCACACAGCATCAAGCAAAGAAAATAAGATTTTCTGCCTCTGTTTGGTAGGTTAGGACAGGAGGAATGAGGGAAGCGTTGTTGCAGAAAGTGCCAAGCTGGGCTGTTGATGAGAGTGTGGGAAGATTTGAGAAAAGGGAAAAAAATCAAGAGGAGGCTCTGTGCCAGGTAGCAGGCCATTGGGTTGATCTCTTTCCTCTTTCTGTTTAAATAGGGAAGCCTGCTGGGTGGTGTGGAAATGGGGCCAAGAGAGTAGCAGATCTCCTGGGCGAACATGGATGGTCAGACCTGGCAAGGATGTGTTGGCCATCTGGCCTCAGAGCCTGGGAGGCCAGAGACACAAAGAGGAGTAAGATGAAGAACAACAAGAATAAAAGAGAGTGAGACAATGACAAAGAGGCAGTGTCCTACAAGGAGGGAAGGAGAAAGAGCAAAAGAAGAATAGCAGGTACAGAGGGGGCTCCATGTGTCTGTGATGCAGCTCAGGCCTCCCCGCCAATCACTGGAGCAAAATAATATTACACGCATTAAAAAAAAAACAAACAAACAGGGGTGACCCTGTAGCACAGAGGAAAGCAGAGCTCTGCTCCTATGTGGTCCTGGTGGGAAACGAGTTCCATGGGGACACAGTTTTCCAAATAACACGTCACAGAAATCTGGAAGCTACTGTTTTAGATTAAAATCAATATAAACAAGGACACAACCCTATACAGAAAAACTATAGACTATTTCTAAATATTAATTACACCTAAAATATATTGCAACACATAAAAAAACCTGAGGGCATCTCATTATTGAGTGTTAAGGTCTTTTTAGAACACGTGGAGAAGTAAAATTACAAATGTCATTGGAGTGAGTTCTATGTTTCAGGGATGGCATGTTCAGAACCCTTTCATGGAGTCTTGTGACAAGCTAAAACAGCAGGTGTGTGCTGCTGGTTTTGTGATAATCTGACAAGTATTTGTAGGCCAGGGACCTGTTATGGAATAATAATCTTTTTGTACACTGTGAAGATGTATCTTTGCCAAGGCACCTTCTGATTGGTTCAGTGAAACAGCTGACTGTCCCATAGTTAGACAGGAGGTATGGGTTGGGCAGAAAGACACAAAGATGCTGGGAAGAAGGGTGGGGTCTCATAGTCATGAACAGAGGCAGACAGAAGCAAGATGAACCTGTCATGTTGAAAGAATGCACCGTCATGTGGCAGAGGATAGATAAGAAATATGGGTTAATTTAAAATGCAAGAGTTAGCTAGTAACAAGCCTGAGCTGCTGGCCAAGCATTTATAATTAATAATAAGTTTCTGCATGGTTATTTGGAAACTGACTAATAGGGAAGAAAAACTCCACCCACAGGGACCAGAATCCCACTGGCTTCAATCTAATAGACTGAGGCATATTTTAGCTTCAGACACTTAAAAGACAGAGTAGACTACAGATAAAAGACCCCGATTATCCCTCCACATTCTGAGGCTGTGCAAGCTCTCATTCTTCATCCTCCAAGCCTGTCATTACCCACTTCCCCAACAAGTCCAGGATAGCCTGATGGAGTATGAGAAGCCTCATATAAGACAGACTCCCATGTCTCAAAAGATTTTAGATCAGTTCACAGTCAACAAATGCCAAAACATCTCAGAGAACCCACTCAAGATCCTAACTACCTCGTAGCTGATGACAGAATATCTGAGACCAAAGGAGTTACCCAGTAGACTCAAGAGCAACCAGAACTACTTCCAAAACCGTGGAGTTGCAGGCTCATTTGTTACACGGCAACCAGTGACTGATATAGACGGACCCAAATGGAGACTTACCTGTGCATTCATACTGCAGACCTTTCCCGTAATAGCCCTTCTCACAGACGCATTCGAATTGACCTGTGTGTGTCCCACATTTGCAACTGGCCATTCGGTCACAGCAGTCCTTTCCAGCTTCACAGAGATACGAGCAGTGGGCCATCTCCTCTTGGATAAAACTCCCAGAAGGCAGATCTGCCAGGAACATAAGATATCAGGCGATCAAAACAAATCAACAACTTGTTGTTACATTGTCTAGTCATTACAGACCAAGAGCAAGCTGGAGAAAATAGCTTTTCTAACCTGTCTGGTTTGCCCCGGTTCCCTACAACCCACATACGAATGTGTGCTGTTTGCAGGAACACACTCTGGGGGTTAGCACTGGCCAGTTCAGTTACTTCATTCTGGAATCTCATCCTAAGTGCTCGAGGCCACGCAGGGTCAGGCAGAAGTAAAGCTCCGCAGAATCTTCAGCAGCAGCAGGTAATCCACACACTCAGTCCTTCAGCTCATTCCCCTGGCTTCCCACAGCCGCGTTCCCTGACCTCTGCATGAGGTCAGGCAGCAGTAGCCAGACTTTTCCAAATCCTTGTTAAAGTTAAAAATAAAACCCCAATCCTGACCACTGGGTAAGGATGCTGTGGGCTCCTGACTCTAGAATAAATACCATCACATCTGGAGTCATTTGACCCCAGCACGTCACCACATAAATTAAATAACACAACCATAATCCTGTCTGCCTCTTAGTTTTAAGCATAGGAACATGTGTTATGTAGAAAGAGACAATTCTGAGTATCTGCGCCAAGAGATGAAAGAAAGCATGGCAGGAATCCCCATGCAGAGCTGTTCAGAAATAGACTCAAGGCAGGGTTAAGGCCGCAGATGACTGAGCCAGGATGGATGGCCTCGAATGGAGCAAGCGGTCGGTACACATCTCCCGCTGAAGAAGTTAAGAAATCTTAGCCTGAATTCCAGCGCTAGGGTCAGGCTGCTCAGTCCAGATACAGGGATGGGCGCCTAGGAAGAATGCAAGTGGGTGACTGTTGGCAAAGCAGACAGTCTGCAGATGAAGATCTGGGAAGGAGATGAGAGAGGGCCTCAAATATGAACCGTCTGACCTTATGTTAAGTCTGTACTGTAACTAGGGACGAAAATAAGGGGAAGGCTCAGTCTCGAGAAAAGGAGCTCAGCAAAATCAGGCACCACATTAAAACCCCAGCCCGGAGATCACGCAATGGGTGAAAGGTTTTGCACAGTGGTCCCCGGAGTTAGTTCTGAGAAACTGGACCAGAGGTCTGTTGGCCACAGAAGACCTTAGGGAGCAAGGAAAGCCTGGCTACCAAATGTGGTGCCGTAGCGTTTGGGCCAAGGGGAGGAGTAAGAGGGAACATGATGTAACCTGGGCCGCTGCGAGTGTTCAGAGCGTGGACATCAGGCACATCCCTGAGGCCGTTACATCTTTTCAGTAAAAGCAGAGATTCTTCTGGAGAGTCAACCAAAGTGTGACACACTCTAGGAGTGAGTTTAGTGGAGGAGTGTTCATGACAGTAAAACAACCTTTTCCTTGACATTCCTGTCTGCCCTTATTTCTTTACTAACTCTCTTTATGCCGGTCTCATAAGACAGAGGGACAACTGGGCTAGAGAGTCATTTGATATATCATGTATAGATCACGGCATCCGTAACTTCATACTCTCATCTAGCAACACCCACTGTCCCCAACTCTAATCTCCCTGCTCCCCCAGCTAGCATGCCACTTCCTCTAAGAAAGGAGAAGCAAAGGAAGGCACCAGTTACTTCCAGTCACATGCTAGATACTGCTGCCTTGGTAAAACGCAGAGATTTCATTCTCTTGAGAAAACCATGGTACATATTATTACATAATCCCTATTTTGAAAGACGAGAATATTAAAGCCCAGCCTTGATTGCCTGAAGCAATTAAAAACAAATGGCCCACTTTAATAAGCAATTGATAGCAAGAAAAGTAGTTATTGAACCTTTACACATACTATCAGGAATTCTCATTTTTATTGCATTTATATAGTGTATGTGTGTGTGGTCATACATTGGTCCCCTCTTTTCACCATGTAGGTTCTGGGGATCAAACTCAGGTAGTCCGCCTCAGCAGCAAGCACCGTTTATCCAATGTTCCACCTTGCAGGCCTCATCTGCTATTCTCCAGCTGCTTTTTGTGCCTTAGCCTACTTGACCCCCATAGCAAGCCTGTGAAGTACTACTCTATTGACCAGAAACCTAACAAATAATTTACCCCCAAATCATCCATTTAATAGATGATTAAACTGGGATCCAAATGCAAGAATTCTGAATTTTTTATGACCTAACTCTTAAAAATTAAACTTCAGTTATAGGCCTAGCATTTAAATCTAAGCCCTATTTTCCTCCCCACGCTCACTCCCTCCCCACTTCCAAGCCCTCCTCTAAGTCCCCCTCCTTTTTCTAGGACTCTTACCCCCAATAAGCTTAGCTAGGTCCCCCACCCCTACCCAGAGAGTCTAATCCTTTTTACTAGATCCATAGCAATAGCCTTATAGTCCACTGGAAACCCTTCTCTTGGAACTGCACCAGGGCTAACCTGCTTTTCGGTTTGTTTGCTTTTTGAGCCTCACAGGGTGCTTCGGCCTATTGCTATGATTCCCACTTTATGTCAGATTTTTCACTTGGGTACCTGCCAGAATCATGCCCAATTTGGCACACGGCTAAGTCTCCTGTCAGCTCCTCATAGTTCACATTCTTTTCTCCTGGCTCACATTATAGCCGGCGAGTTCATCTAACTGAGAGCTGTGTGGCTAACCCTCCTTCTACGTGGTGTGTTGCACTAACGCATTTACCAATTTTTCTCCCCCTTTAAGACTGACGCTCTTATGACAAAAGCCATTTATCTCCAAGCTGTCAGGGGAAGAAGTATGTGTTAAGTGTTTAGCGTCCTATCTTCCTATTTCTGGAAACGTTCTGATGAGATTCAGTGCTCATGCCTCAGAATGTTTACTTCATCTGTCCAGATAGCTGTAAAGGCCATCTCAGTCAAGGCTTCCCACTCCGTGTGTGGCCTCCAAACACACCTCGATTCAGCCCATGGATCTAGGTGGGGACGTATGGATATTCTAGGCAAGATGCATCACAGATGTTAAGAAACAAAGCAAAACAAGATTGCTGCCAGGTCAGCATGCCATCTCCGGGCAATTCAGAGTATTTCGTGACACCCAAAGCGCTCCTGAGCCTCATGCTCTGCCAAGAGCAATGTAAGAGCTTGAAATCACTTTTCTTCAGGCAACAAGAGAGAGAAACAAAACAAAACAAAACAAAAAAACAAACGAAGACAACATTTCAAGGTGCCTGTAATGCCACTAGCTTCCATTACCTTCATGCAATGCCCTGCGAGCTAGAGCCTCAAATTCTTCAAAACTGTGGAGCAGGTAGCAGTGTTCGTCCTTCGGGGCAGAAGCCATGTCGTTCAGTTCCCGGATATTTCCCTGCCAAATCCCAAACGTGAAGATCTCCACTCCAAAGTCCCGCAGGGATGCTGCAACGGGTCTGGGATCTCCGCCATTGGAATAGCCATCGGTGATGAGAAATATGACTTTGGTGGCATTCTCTCTAGAGTGACGAAGGATTTGCTGTAAGGACACAGGGAAGATCCGAGCGTGAGTGGCGCCGGCCCCTCTGCTTGCTTTCCCAGCTGAGGCAGGGCCTGAGAAACACCAGTCAGTGAGAAAAAACCAGGAACACAGACCGGGATCGACTATGGCTTCACAGACGCTAAATGATCTCAAAACCGTATAAAAAATGTCGTCGTCATCATCATCGTTATAACCACGTCTCCATGATCCTTAGTACTACTGAGCTGGCCAATGAAGAGCAAGGATTTACAGAATAACATTGACTCAATAACTACCACTTCCCGTGGCGCTAATCGTCTCTCAGGTCTCCTCCAGACCTGGAAACATGAACCAACCCGAGTTCTAAGCATCCGCACTGCACCTTTCTCTCCATCGAAACCACCCCCAGCCTAATTAGAGAAATTTATCAGAAAGTGTCTTTTTCAGGGCCTATGATGGCTGACCTCCTGCCTATATTTGTTTTTCCACAACTCCTTCAGAAATGTAGAATTCATCCAATGCTTCATCTTTCTGGACCACCCAGGATTTGCATAAAATCATCAGGTTTTGGCAGCATCCTATCTTCATGAGAAAACACGGCTCCGCTAACTCTGACATTTGAGCTTTATTGTTTTAGGACAGGTCATTCTGTTTTATGATGTGTGGAACTCCTTGGCCATGGACAGAAGCAAAGGGAAGCTTTTAACATTCCATTGCCGGAAAGGCTTTATCAAACCTCAAAGGTACCAGAGCTCCAGGTGTGGATCTAGCCTTGTCAGCCAACTGTCTATTGAGACTTTCCCTTAGAATTGCGTGGGAAAGACAAGGAAGAGGCAGGATACATTTTCTAGCAAGATCTGAGAAGGCAGCCTGGATTATCAGGCAACAATGGGAGAGCCACTACCTGCTTTCTAGAAAGCGGACCAGAATAGCAACAATTATACCCTAGATTTTCTCAAAATAAGATATGATCTGAAAAATTCGATTTTAGTTACTTTAGGGAATAGAATCATTAGTGAGTCTAGATTTTTTTTTCAGATTATAAGACTGATCTCCCAGTAAAGAAAAGTCTATCAATTGATACTCAAAGGATGTCGCTTATAATTGAATTATTCTTACCTAAACTTTTTTATTGTAAGCTGCAACCCAAATTTAAAGAAAATCAAACTGCAAATGACTCCAGAAACCATTAAAAGGGCCAGCATTTTTGGAAGAAGTGTTTAAGCCTGTCCCCACACATCCTAAGGATCAAGCCCAGCGATGGAAGCTAGGTCAGATGGGAGCCCCGAAAGACAAGCACATAAGGTTGGGTGTGTGACAAAACAAGACACACAGTGTTAACAGACTTTCCTCAAATACACACCAGGGCCTTAATCAACAGTCTTTGTGGTCTTGGTTCTTAGAGTTTAAAAAACTGTCCCCTTGGTGAAGGACAGGTGGTCTGGGATAAAGGCATGCCAAGAGTGAGGTTGTCTAATCCCCAGACAAGAGCCTCTGGGGAGAAGGGGAGGGGAAAGGCTAGAGAAAGGAGATGTTCTTCTCTTGTGTGAGACTCGGAGTCTGTACCAATCTCTCTCCACACCCATCGAGTCACAGAAAAGATGACAGATGGACATCCCTTGAGGCACCGAGAGTCACATATCCTCTTCTTTTTGGATATTTGGAAGGGTGATGTGACCATGCATAAGGCCATTGTACAACTCAGAAAACAGAAGTGCGGAGATCTGAGGAGGGACCATTCCCCGGGCAGTTTTGCAGAAAGAGGGAAGATTCCATCTAATAATGACTCAGTTGTCAAAAGTGAAGTACTGGAAACTTCTAGTTTTGAGTTTCTTGGATGCCCATAGATGGCCTTGCTGCTTCGTCAGTTGGAAATGTGGATCAAAGGAAAAGTTCTGGGCTGGGAGTAGAGTATATGGCTAGTTCGACTCACACCTGGGCTCCATCCCCAATACAACACTGAAGAAATGTCCACAGAATATGATTCCACTCAGCATCAGTAAGATAGAGTTTTAAAAACCATCACCAGCTTGTAAGAAAATGTTTTTTCCAACACACAGTTTCTCATCCCAATGGGACCTCGTGGTCCCTTGGGTAGTGAGTAGAGAGTCTCACTGGGACCTCTGCATCTCCACACATTTATAGGACGACAGATGAAGGACAGGGAGGAGAGGAGAAGGCTGCACAGCTCAAGGGTGTGGGTGTTCAGAACGGCAGCCGGGCATTTCGAAGGTAAGGGCGGTTTTGATTGGAAGTGAGATCAGCTGAGGGCAGGCTATTTAAAGTCCTAGGCAGCTGAGCCAGACAGCAATCTCAGTCTACAGCTACCAGTAAAGAGCAGTTCCGCCTTCACTCAGGAGAAGGCCTCAGCGATTGCTGCCTCCTCCTCACCCCAAACCTGCTCAATGTTCTCCTGTGCATTGCAATAGAATTCTTATTTATAAAATTCTTAAATACACTTAGAATTTTGCCTTGCTTTAGTGAACAGTGGAGACTACCTCCATTTTTATTCAGCTAGAGAATTATTTCCCCCACTCTATTCCCTAATCGAGCCTCTCCTTTCTGTTTTATTCTTGTCTGTCTGTCCTTGGTTACTGCAACAGAACTTGAAGTGCGATTGGTTTATAGTCTTTTTAATAACTGGAAAGGAAATTTTAACTATCTTTTTCTTTTAAAAAGTATTTGTGGTTAGACTTAAAGGTTTCTTTTGTCAGCTGAGCTCGAGAATCAGCTCATAAAATTCTTCTCTAAATTCTGTTTCATCCAGCAATTTCACTTCTAGGAATCTACCCAAAGACACACACACACACACACACACACACACACACACACACACACATGCATGCACACAATCAAGGACCAAGCCCAGCAGAAATGAGCTGGCTGCAGTCTCTAAATACCATTGCCCACTAGAAGGTGCCAGAAATTTGTGAAGAAAGTGTTTGATTTCTGTCCGAGGGCAGGAAATGTACAACACAGGCTGGCTGGGGCTTCTCATGACAGAAGACAAAGAAGCCTAAGAACTAGCACAGACAAGACGGGGAAAGCAGGGGCAGCTGCGGAGCCCCCCGCCCCCCCCCCCCCCCCCCGCACAGCAGCGAGGGGCAGCTTGGGTGCAGACGAAGATGAGAAATTGGATGCACTTAAGTACCTCAAGTTTATACTCACGGGGGTGTGTGTTTACATTTGTAGTATGTATACATTAAAGGGGGAAGTTGTACAAGCACAAACAATAATTGGAACGGACTGAAACATCCATATGAACACATACTCAGTACTGTTTCTGGGGGGAAAGCCCAGTTATCTGTTTGAAATGACATGAGGCAATTTGTAAAATCCAAATTTTCCTCCATGTTTGGAGGGCAAGCCTTCATTCCAGCTCTCCAGGAGGCAGGCGGTTGTGTCTGCCTCGCCTTTGCTATCCGCCATGAACAAAGATAGAGATAGAGATAGACACTCTCTTTTCAGTTTCACCCAGAAGCCACAATTGCATCTCCACAGACACTCCATAGTGCTCGTGGTCATTTTGAATGGCCAGTTGATGAGGGCATGGCTGCTAAAGCTGTTAGCAAGACATTGAAAACAAGAGCACAATGACGAAGAGGGAAAGAGAGAAGAGGACGTTTTCTTTTTCACTGTGATCCTTTTGATCATGCTATCAAGAGTAGTGTATGTGTGAAGTATGTGCTCATAAACATTTGTTCAGTGAACCGAGTGGGTAAACTCTCAAGATGCTGGAGTGAGTTGGTCCTGAATAAGTAGGAGGAATGTGAGTGTGTAAACATGTGTAATATTTGTACAAAATTTACTCTAGGAGGAGTTGGAGAGAGGTAATAGGGGGTGGATGTGATCAATAAACATTGTATAAATATCTGAATATTTCGAAGAATAACAAATATTTAAAATGATACTTAAAATTTAATTTTCTTTTTGTGCCTCTCAGAATGAACAAATCCTTTTCTGGAATGTTAGCCTCAGTTGACCCCAATGCCTTTCCCTCAGGTCTGAGTGGACATCGGCACATCCTTCTCACAGTTACTGCTCATCAGACACACAGACCCAAAGCTGGGTGGGAGGCAGAGCTATGGTTCAGTGGCTAAGAGCATTGGTTGCTGTTGCAGAGGATCCAGGCTTAGTTCTCATCCCCCACATGGTTGCTCAAAACCATCCATAACTCTAGTTCCAGGGAATCTGATACCCTCTTCTGACCTCCATGGACACCGGGAACACATGCAAATCAAACATGTGTATACACTAAGAAAAATAAATAAATCTAAAACAAACAAAACACCCACAAAACCTTAAGCTGGGATTCTGCTATTTTCTCTTGCAGAGGCGTTGGTGGGTATTTCCAGGAGCCATCAGCTCTGTTGGCAAGTCAATACATGGAACTGAAGACAGCAAGAATAATGGCAGGACCAGCGGTCCAGGCAAAGAGTTACACAAGATCTAGGTCTGGAATGTGCTTGAAAGATGGACGAGGGAGGATGCATTACTGAAAATGATTTACAGCTCTCCCCATCTTCTTGTCCCATTATTCTTGAATTAAAACACGATTCAATAAAACATTTTTCATACCAAGACTTCAGAGCCAAACGACTCTGCGGTAATGGCCATGGAATGTAGTAGAAGCTTGGCATTTTTCTTTTGTGTTTCTGAAATAGTTTACATCATCTGCTACATATCTGGGGGGGGGGGTGTCCAGAATGCTGAATGAGACAAAGAATTTGCTGCCAAAGAAAAACTGGACATGGATTCTGTATGGCAAAAGGTTATCACCATCTGCATTGTATCAAACCTCTGATTTGCTAGTATAAACAGCTGGCAAGGAAACAGGCTTCCTGCGTCCAGCAATAGTCATCAGAATGATAAAAATGCAGGATTGTGCAATTCAGGTTTAACAGGGAGATCCATCACCCTCATACAAGCTCCCACTGGCGCCCCTACCCAAAGCTTTTTTTTCCCCCTCCAAAGAGCGGCTGCAAAAATGCTATGGAAACAAAAGGAGGTGACAGGAA